ATGTTATGCAATTTTTTAAATAATTTATTGATTCCAGTTTATTTCTTTTGGTTTCCCACAACAGCTACAAAAACAGACGTAATTTTCAGTAGGATTATGATAATCTATTAAAAAAAATTCTATTTTTTTCTTTTGTGGAACATTGTGTACTTATAATAAAACAGTTCATCTAAATGTTTATTTCATTTTCAATAAAGAATGGGTATTTTTCATTAGTATGTGGAAACATACAATTAGAAAGTATAGGAATATACTGCATACTGCTGCTTGTCATCATTTGTGGTTGAGCTTACAGTGATGACTTAGTGATGACTAAAAACACTTTGCATAAGCGAAAATATTTAAGCCATAACTGGTTTTACTACACATATACTGTTTCCCAATGCATGTAACTCTTTGATTCACTTACCTATCTTGTGCAATAGAGCAAGGGGTGATGTCACCATCACTCAACCATTTACAGTTTTGTAAAGCAGCAGTGAGTGAAATGGAAAACTTTGTTTGAAGGGAGCACAATAATGAGAAGTTGAGCAGAGGTGTTGTTTTATTCATTTCCAAACACATATTCCTAAAATACAATTTAATAAAACCAAAATGTTTCGGTTATGGTAGTGGGTGACATTTGAGTATTGTGAAATACTGAGAAAATGTTACCAACCAGGGAGTGATACTGAGTAACATCTTGCATAGAGCAAAGCCTCCTGTGTGGAGGAGGAGGGAATGCACCAAGCCCTTCTGTATAGAAGCTTAATTGCCCCCCTTCATAGAAGGGACTACCCAAGTGCACGCAGAAGTGTTTTGAACTACTTTATTTTAGCAGTGAAAATTTTGCATTGATCCATATTAAAATTCTATCACACAGATACAAGGAGAAGTTGTGTTTCCAGTACACTATTTGCAGACACTGTGAAGTATAGACTGCATGCTGATAGTTGAAAATTGTATTAAACCAGAGCAAGTATCAAGTGAATTGTGAATGTAAGATTTGCCTTTTAGACTGTGTTTTAGAGGATATGGATAGATCTGTAAGAAGCTGGCTGCACTGTAATGAACTTACTTTTTTGTGATCAAGCTTTTCTTCACCTTTAACAAATAAACTTATTTTTTCTCCTTTTGATATTTATGTTGTTTTGCTAGTCCTTTTATTCATATGTACTTAGGCTCATTTATTGTAAAATTTCAGTTACATAAAAACTCACTGTAAACAAACATAAGAACAACCCATCCTGAAAGTATTTCACAAATGTTTTTTTAAAGATCAATTTTACGTATTTTTAATATATTGCTTGACTTGCTATCATTAAACTACTCCTGTCATATTTGCTCTGTATTTTTCTTGACACCCAGAAGTACATTGACTTCTATAGTTTTTCTAATTATTCTCACACTGATGCGGTCACTTGGATGAAAGGGATATACGTTTCGTTGAAGAATAAAGCTGAGAGCAAGATGCTGTTTTACACCTGAATCTGTCTTTGTACTGAAATTACACATTTTTCTTGTGGACCTAACAGGATTATTTTCACGCTCTGACTTGTTTCAGCACCAGCTTAAGTCTGGTGGTGATGTTTGTGTGGGATTTATTGAACAGTACCATGTATAAACTGATTGTCTAGTACACATTGTTTTTTTAAGCTTGTTTAATCAGGAGGGACTGGTAGAATGCATCTAGAAGGTGAGTCATCCTGTGCTATCATAGGTGTTGGAGGCAGATAAGATATTAATTACCAGCTGGAATTCCTTGTCATCCTGCCCAGACAGTAGAGGTTTAGATAACCAGAATATATGCGGTGCAACAGGCTATGGGTAGGTGAGATTAATCCTTCATCTGCTTGATGAGAGCAAACAGTGAGTCACTACATACAACCCTTTCTAAAAGCTGGAGTGTTATTACTGTGCTATCTAAGGATGCAAATGAGGCAATGGTTGCATGGAAAGTAGTATCATTTATTAGATCAAACTGATAGAAAAATAGCTAGGTTCTCTACCATGTATTCTTGTTCTGGTTCCCTTAGAGATGATGTATTTGTCTCCTTTTTTCCAATTATCTTATTTAATTGAAAATGTTACTCAAGCTCTCAATTAAATACTTTAGAAATACACTGCTGTAATTCAAAGACTGTCAAGCATAAAAATAGACTTAATTCCTTTTTTAATTTTTTTGAGAGGAAGTTCCTCTCTGATTTTTATTTCATGGCCAAATTCTTCAGGTCATATCTGACATTTTTCTTACAACTAAAGTTAGGGTGACCCATAATTAATTTATTTTTTTTTCTCTAAGTCAGTCTGTTTTTTCTTTTGTGCTCTTTCCTTGCAGGCTTTTACATTAAAGATATATACTTTATATACTAAATTACTTTCCAGTTCTTCAAGGGATCCAGTTAAACTATTCACATCATGACATTTATACTGAAGGACTAACATATCTTCTGGATATTTTGATTTGTCAGTTTGGTAATCACTCTAACAGAAGACTGTTTTGGGTTAGACACTGTGCTGAAGTTCTCAATGAGGCATGTTTTTTCTACCAAGTGCTGAGATGTTCAGTTCAGTCCTGCAACCTATCAGTAAGTTGCACAATCCATCCCATTCAAAACACAACACAGTGACACAAAGCAGCAAGGGAGGTACATTTCCTGTTTCTGTACTGTGGTTGCTCTTCCTTTGTGTAACATCTCCTGTAATTCCTATCTTTTGTTGCTCACCTTCCTCTAGTTTTAGAAATGCCAAATGTTTCTGAGTGATCATGCCAGATGTTGCTATTTCTTATCTGACCACTACCTTCATCTGTATCAGTTCTGCCCACTGCACTGTTCAACTGCCTTCTTACTGATGACTTTTTGAGTTCAATCCAATACTGTTCTTACATGCAAGTGATTATGCATAAAAACTCATGAGTTTTTCTCTAATGACTCCACCATTTAATTCAGCTCTTTAAGTTGTGCTGTTCTGAAGCCAGGAAGGTGAATTTGCTGCTATACAAATGAAGCTTGTCTTTCTGGGATAGTCATTTTTATTGTGTTCATGTTGTTTTAGACCTCCTGGAGAGCTCTTCATTGTTACTAGGATTTCATACTCCTTCAGGGTTAGGAGAATTTCAGCAGGAATTATCTGATCTCCAGTTTCTTGTATTTTTCTGCAGGTTGCAGACTCATACAATTTTACCTCTTATCTACCCAGTTGACTGTGAAGGCAGATAACACATCTTTGCAACCAAATGTCAGTTTTGTGGTCACCCTTGTAAAAAGTACTATTCCTTCTTGCTTGCATCATATTAAAAGGCAGTTTTGTGGATCTCTCTACTTTTTTTTCTTTTTTTAAATTTCCTTTTTTTAAATTAATTAATTAATGTATTTATTTATTTGCTTCTGAGTAAACTTAACTGTGTTTCTCTTTGGTTGCCCAGCTGAACTTGTCCCATGTAATCATTATATTCAGCTTCTTGTCATGTGGCAAAGAGGATTTAAAAAATTGGTGATTTTTTTCTTGCTTGGATTCGTACATGTTATTGTTTCTACCAGCACCTTATGTTACTGTGAAAGGAAAGTTTTGCCTAATATTTATGTGAAGTGTTAAGGTGCTGATAAAAATGTAATATCTTAGTTTAACATGGCATCTTCGAAAAATAGTTTCACTTGGAAAAAATGAAAAACAAACAAAAAATCAACACTTTGCTGTGTTTTTTCCAACAAGTCCATGCATACACTAAGTCCTGGTGCACTGGAAGGGCAGAGTGGTGTAGTACTAACTAAGCAATTTTGCTATAAAACAAATTGAATCTTAAGTGTCCAGGGAAATAATTTGCTTTAAAATTTCATTCTGCATATCCACTAACTCTTTGGGATGTCTCACTCTTTCCCTTCACAGGTGTTTGAGTTTAAGGGTGCAAGAACCTGAGAAAAGAGAGGATCCAAAAGAAAAAAAAGAATTAAAAATCTCCCTCTAACTGTACCTATAGGGAAATAGTGATAAATAAATATTTAAATGAAAAGGAAATGGGCCATCCCACAGAAATTCAGTTAATTGCATGCAGAGAAAGATACTTTGTCTGTTGTCTGTAGAAGCCATTTGTTTTCAGAAATAAAAAAAGGAAATTAAAGGGTGCATCTTAAGTTTCAAATAATATACCTTGGAATCAATGACAGATAATGTAAAAAAGTTCCTATTCTTTTGAAAGACTAAAATGCTGGTTGCAAGGGATAATAATGAACACCATTCTTTATCCAAATGATGGAAAATACTAGTCTGTTATTATGTGTTTTTGATTTCACACTTAATATATTTTTACTCATAGAATAACTTTGATTTCTCAGTCCTGGCTTTGAAAAATACATGGTTTTATTTCTTTCTTTCATGGTAATGCTTTTCTTTAATACACTTGCCTTGTTCTGTCTGTGAGTACCAGCAAGGCCTATTACCAAGATGAGAAAGACAGAAGAGTAATCTTCTTGCAGTATCTCTGTACTACTTCTGCAACTTTACCTATGCAGCCTTTGTTAATCCAACTCTTGAGTCAGAGGATAAATATACTATGGATTTGTAGGCTTTCAGTGGTATGGAGAGTTTCTATCTGAAAAGTATTCAAATATTCCATTTGTTTCCTGCATGTTGTGGGATTTTCAGACTATTTTATACTTGGTATTGTTACTTAGTATCAAATAGCTGCACCAAATGAAAACCAATGTATTTTTGGTAATGGAGGAACAGCAAGTTCTGGAGGGTTTAAAATAGATGACATTTGATACCGATAATAGCCTGCTGCAACTTAGCAGACCTGAGAAACTATTCAAAGCAAAATGGAGGGCAGTTCTATACTCCAGGCTTTCACTAACATTTATTTTGCCATTTTTGCTTTGTTTTGCTTCAAACTTTTAATTAAGATTTCCTTGGCTCTGCTGACTCATTTCTATATTGTTAAAGGCAACAGAAAAGAGGCTGCCAGGATAGCAGAAGAGATCTATGGAATAGTCCCAGGTAAAGTAAAAACATAGACATTCTTAACAGACAGACGTCTATTTGCTACATATTTATAACTTTGGGATTTAGGTCATTGAGATTCCATAAAACAAAGAGTTTGTTGCTAAGTGCATAGGGTGAATGTTTTAACCTGACGTGCCTTTCACTTCTGAGGTCTTTGCAGTGTTGGTATGTGTTGGCATGTGATAGGTGTGCAAAATTTGAGACTGCAACAGCTACCCAGCTCGAATGAGGACAACATTTGCTCAAGGCACTACAGTAGATAAAAAGATTGTTCTAGGAAGCATGGCATTCTTTGGTTTGGGGTTACGGATGGCTTTGTTATGTTTACCGACAGAATATTTAGGGAAAACTTTTGTTGTGTTGATTTCCTGAAAGAAAGCTCCAGGAGGTTATAACTAATTATTTTGTGAATTTATGTCAACAAGTCAGGCCATAAAAATGAATAAATCTGAAATGGTTCTGAAAATAATATGTTGCAGGAATATGTTGTACTTACTATGCCACTTAGCTGGTCATTTCATATTTTTGGGTTTCTTTTTTTCCCCAAGTGGTTTTACCTCCATTGCATCACTCTTGTGCATGTGTCTATATAAAATAACATATAGATATTAGAAGTACTGGAAATGCAAATACCAGATTAAAATGACACAGTATTTTAAATTTACTACTAATGAAAGCATGTTTTCCAGCCTAAAGATTTCTTTCAGCATTGTGACATTTCAGGCCTTTATGTGACTCAGTTTTGGACACTTGCTTCCTGATGAACTGAGCTGCCACGAACAGGTACAGGAAAGTCAGTGGGATTGTCTGTGGTGCAAGATGGTCACCTAAAGCACCGCTGTCCAAGAGAAATATGGCAGCAGAACATTTCTTACAGAGCATTTATACTCTGGAATGTCCGTCTCTGGGTTATTAACTTATTCTCTAGAGTGTAAGTCCAATTATTTATTGCTGCCACTGTTTTTTCCTGGTGCATTCATACAATTGCAGTCAGATGTTGACAAACACCAGCTTTCCCTTTGTACAGGTTCTTAGCAAAGTGTCTTGAAATTGAGCAGACTACAACATATTTTTATCTGCAAGTTGCCATTTGCAAAAGCCATTAAGGATAATCTTTCAAAATATAGGACCACGTGACACTGTTGCTGGGGCACTGGATTGGGTTACAGGCAGAGTTTCACAGCGACTTCTCTTTGCAGTGTGGTGCAACAGAAGTGCTCCCAAACTTAACTTAAAGATAAGTTATCCTTGACTTAGAAAAGACAGTGCTTTCCAACATGTCACTTACAGCCCTGGAGGGAAGAAGTGCTCTGTATGGGAACTATATTTGCCACACATTTCAGGGAGGTAGGTTGCTGTGGCTAGCATGGAAGTATGCAACAGCATGTGTTCTCATGAAGCATGTGTGTGCATACACATGCCTTCACAATGCATGTGAAAAGCGCTTACACATGCTCTACAATATGCATAGGAGTTTTAATAAGGCAATGAAGCTTATTCAGTTCAGTTACCTCTGAACTCTGCCGGTGGACGAGGCCCCTACTTTTTGTCATTAGCCTTCTAACTTTCTGAACTGAGCTTGCCTATTTCAGACACCAGCATGAGGAGGGAGCTGGGATTTTTTGGATGTTTTCATTCAAATCTTTCTCCATCTCTACCTGTTTCCATCATTTTGCTTAGTGAGTCCTACTTGGCCCTCAGGAGCCTGGCTGCACACTGTGCTGGCTGTCCTTCTACACCATCCTCCTGCTGTTGGAGCCCAGGGACAGCTCCTTAAGTAAATGGAGAGAAAAGTGAAAACACTATTTAAAACTGTAACGCCACCACAAGGTGAAGTACTAAGGTAATGAAAACACACTACAAGAATGCTAAGGGCTGCTGGAAACTCCTTAAAGCAATGCTGGCTTTAAACCAGAGGGTGATATAGGCCTTTTAGGTCAACCTCCTCTCCTCCTCCTGCAACTCTTTGGCAGTCTCTGGTGTACTATCTGTCCTTGGTCTGAAATCCCTAGGGACGTTCACATGCCTCTCATTGAGATTTCTTTGCCTCAAGTAACATCCGGAATGGAGATATATCACCTTTTCCTTTCTCCCTGTTGTGCTGTGTAGTGAAAATAATTAATGGGATGTGGATTTCAAGCACTATGCTTGTGGGGCTATTGTACAATAGAGCACAAATGCAAACACTGGTATTGTTTCTGTTCTCTGGCAGGTTAAATGCACTCCATCTGAGCTGGCTACAAGTATAGGTAGCAGCTAGACAGACTTATTTCGTGGCACATAAATAGATTAGAGTAAGGAAAAGAAGAAACCTGCAAGAAGAATTCTTCACAGTTCAACAGCTTAAAATGATTCAGGAAATCAGAAAAGAGAAAAGAAAATGAAAGCTTGGGCAGGATCTATTTTTTTCATGTCTGTTCTGAAAACTTTCAGTGAGGAGGAGGATGAAACTTGTTACCTACCTGTCTGAGCTAGAGAAGTCATTTGTGAAATTGTCAATTTGTGAAATAAGGCAGATAGAATCATGCTAGAATTCATTTGATGGACAGAGCGTCCCAGTGTCTCTCTGCTATGAAACCCTTAATAAAGTGAAGGGCACTGGAATATGACTTGTGACAAAAGCTCTCTAGAACAGACAGAAGCTGATATCTTTTACAACATGAGTGCTGCAGGGCTTTGGTTGAGTCTCCAGCAGCATTAAAACTGTGATCTTTGCTGAAGTGTGTTCTTAGCTATTTTTCAAAGCTGGTGTTGAGGCGCCTTACCGAGTGGCCAACCTCCCTGAGCCTTCAGCTGCTCTGCTGAAATCAATTTATCTACAGTTTCGCTGCTAACACTACATTGATTTGAAACCCATTTTGCATTTCCATATCACTGCACTTCCCTCATCCTCCCAGGGGAAATACCTGTTGCATAGCTGAATTAACTTTTATGAATTTGCTGTTTTAGGCAGCTGGGCGGACAGATCCCCTCTGCATGATGCTGCCTTCCAAGGACGCCTCCTGTCTTTGAAAACCTTGATTGCACAGGTAAAAGCCTGCAGGGTTGGGAAGCAGCATGGTTTCTATTGAATTGTATCTGAGTCAGTAAGCTGGTAACAGTCTGCAGCAGGCATAAGAAATACAGTCATATAAATAATATACCCCCATGCACGCCCTTGGACATGGATTTGCTACTTAGTTAAGATGCTGAGGACAAGCCCAGGACAAAGACTGCTATTGCTTGTAGCTGTATGATAAACAATGATGCTCGTGCTCTTTTTTCAATGATAAATTGTGCAAACTGGGCTTGGGGAGAACAAGAATAATGTATACATCATCCATTTGAAGGAGAAAAAAAAAAAAAACACAACAAAAACAACACCAACAAACCAACAATAGAAATCTGTAAAAATATGCATTGCTTTATAAAACAACTATCATAATCATAACATATCTAAAAGGAGATCTGTCGGCCTCAAACTCTGTTCCAACAGCAACCACAAGTTCAGACAAAACAAAGAGAGGAGGAAAGAACTTACGAGAAAGGATAAGAAGTATGGTAAGAATATAAACAGCTGTAAGGAGGTCACAGTTGTGCTTTGCCATTTTTTCTCCTTATCACCCTTATTCAAACCCAGGTCCCTAGTCTGGCAAAAGTGAGTAATTTCCTCCACCTGTTGCTGATTTCCCAATGCTCTCACTCATCTAGTTCCCTTTGTAAAGCCATTTTATACAATAAGAAGTGGTAGATCCCTTCTATCTTCATCTGTTCTGTCTTTACACCATCCTGGTCATGGCAGACACCTGGTGTTGTGGTTTAACAGTGGAGGCCTCTGTTCTTCACTAGTTATGGTTATACATAGGAGGACTGCCAGATGTTACTGCTATACATTTTTTATTTAATCTACCCTTTGTTCTGTTCCCAAAGACATTAATTTTAGGAACGAAGAATGAGGGTCCTTGCTGGTGGAATGAGATAGATGCAGTAATGTCTATGGAGTCTGAAATGGAGATGAGTCACTAGTAGGGTAAAGTTCTTCACGGAGTACCATAGATATTGCCTAATAGCTATGCTATTAGCCTAAAATGAAATGGAGAGCTATAATTTAGGGTATGTATGGGACACTCAAAATCTCTACCTTTGGATTACAGTTCTTTAGATAGTCAGAAAGGCTTCTGCTCTCCAAGGGATTAACATTAGGAGCTGTTTGTGCCTTTGAGGAGATGGAGCGCTGAAGTTTTAAGAAAGCTCAAGGACTCAGCAAGGCTTGATCTAGCACTGAAAGTAGCATCTTGTTTTTGAGATATACTAGTAAGAATGTATACTCACATGAGAACAAGCTTAATGCCAACATTATTTTGCAGATAGCTATAGAAAGATCTATAACTTGGTCTCCATTTAGTAATGGAGGGGACAGCTATTTTATCCAAGATATCAGTACTTATTCAATTCATTTGCAAGGAATTATTTTAATTTGTTAAATTTATGTCTGAATAATTAATAAGAATAGCTCTATTCTTATCAGGAGCCTCTAGAAAAAATCTCTCTTGAAGGAGTGTACTCATCAGTAAGCATAAAATATCTATATAATTATAAAATGGAATAGTCTCAACATTTTAAAAAAGATTTTATCTGCTCTTATGCATTGATGTAATATGCAGGAAAAATTTATCTACAGCCTTCACATGAACAGTGCTTTCACACTGCTGAAAAAATGATTGTTTTCCAATCACTACATTTCTATCTTGAACTGATTACAGTGGTTGTTTTTAATGCTTATTGCAGCAGGGTTGGTGACTTTTACAGTGTTATGTTGCTCACTGATATTAATGTCTACTGAAAGCCTTTATAGCTGCGTACTAAACAGTGCACTGCTGCCATCTCGTGAGCTGCCAGCTCTATAGCACAGTGAACAGAAGGGAAATGGTCTTACAGCGGAAGACACTCAGTCCTACTTCAAGGCCCGTTCTCACATGCAGCTGTGAAATATCGCGAGGAGATTCAGCTGCATTTTGGGGACAGCACACATGGCAGCTTCTTGGTTTCTTGTGAATAGACCTGGTGTCTGTTTCTGTGGGAAGACATACAAGAACCGTCATTTGTGGGAAATGCTGATAATGAAGCATTGTGACTCCAATTCTTTTCTTCCAGTGTAAAACCCCTTCCAACCCAACCAATCTATGATTTTAGCATTCTACAATTGTATGATTCTGTGAACTACACTGGGAACTCAATATAGTCAGTGTATGTATTTTTAGCATGGAACCCACCTAACCGAAAACTACTTTGAGATAAGCGAAATCAGATCCTAAGGGTGCCTGTTTCCCCAAAATGATGGAGCCCAAGGGTCCAACCGAATTCTGAACTATAACCATTACCAGCTACAACACCGGGGACAAGCAGCAGACAGCAGTAACAGGACCCACATGCATCCCTAGCCACTACCTACCTCTCTGTCCGGGGCCAAATCACTGCTGGTGCCCCAGGATTGCTACGGAGTTTGGCCAGGCTCTCTCCTCATGCCCCATACTCTACCTTGCAGGGTTTCAATGTGAACCTGGTAACAACAGATCGAGTCTCAGCTCTTCATGAAGCCTGTCTGGGTGGCCATGTGGCCTGTGCAAAGCTGCTGCTGGAGAACGGCGCACACGTGAGTCCTGGGCTGGTGGCAATCACCCCAGGGAAAATTATATACGGGTTTTTGTTTTGTTTTGTTTTGTTTTCCCCCATAGTCATCATTAAAATTGCCTCTGGTTTTCTGAGGAATATTTTGGGAATGTCATGTAAGTAAAAATAGATGTGCTTAAATAAATGAGACAGCTTATCCATTATTGAAATAACTTCCCCAGCTGGATCTCAGGTAGGATACACATTAAAAACTGAGATACCCAAGTAGGATGATATATATGAGAGCATGTTTCATTCAGCTGGGTTACACACTTTTCAAGCACTGTTCACATGGCAAGAAACTGAGCAACACTAAAACTGGAAATCAGGCTATCTTGCAGAAGAAAATATATTAATTAACTTCCTATACTGTACAACCAATTTCAGTCTCATTGAAAGATGAAGAAGAAACTTTCTGCTCAATTTTACTTGATTTTGTTATACAAGTGGCAATACCTTTTCTTAATTAGAAGGTGGCACTACCTTTTCTTAATTAGAAGAATCATCTCTGAACTGTCTGTTGCTGACCTATGAAAAACAACCTGTTCGTGGTACATAAAGTCTTTTGGTTTTCATGTTCCAATTTGATGCTTGCCTTTAAGTTCAACAAGACCTAGTGCACTTTGGCCACAACAACCCCAGGCGACACTACAGGCTGTGGGCAGAGCCTAACTCTAGCCCTTTATCTCCCATCTCTGTATGTTGTGCTGTATGCTTGCAGAACCCATTGTTCTTTGTTCATCTTGCAGAATAATAATAATAATAATAATAATAATAAATAAGGGAATGCAGATTTGCTGCATAAATTGTCTCTGAGTGTTTGCTAGGCAGTTAGACCTTACAGCTGCTGCAGCACAGCACAACACAGGACTATGCTCTCCCAGTGGAGAACCACAGATGATGGCTCTTGCCAGGTATCTATATTGGATGTCAAGGAAGGAAATGCTTTCTGTCTTACATATGTGCATAAACACAAACCATTTTGACCTCTTTTTCTGTTTGGGATTATGACAGTGTTTCTGTGAATATGTCCTTTGCTGGAAATGTGTTTTCAGATGAATGTATTAAACGTGAACTATATTTTCATTTAAATATCAGAGTTGTCTGAGCATGTAATGGACTTAGGCTGGTATAAAATAGGCAATACTCAGGTTTTCTGCATTAAAAAGAAATAATCTGCATTTTCTGAGCAACCCTAGGAGGGTCACTCATAACAAGCAATGATGTGGCCTTATGGCACTAAGTGCCTGGGAAAGAGAGCAGAGCTCAAAGGAGAATGTTATATGTGTTGTCTCACACTTTGAAAGCTGCAAACCAAATCAACTCTGACATTAAACGACAAGCATTCTAGTTGAGCACATGACGCATGCTGTAAGGGCGCTGCTCTTATACTGGATTGTTCTGAGCATGTCCTGCTGTTTCAGGTCAACGCAGTCACCATTGATGGGATCACTCCTCTCTTTAATGCCTGTTGCAGTGGCTCTGTGGCTTGTGTAAACATGCTGCTTGAATTTGGAGCCAAGCCACAGGTCGGGAACCACCTTGCTTCACCCATTCATGAGGCAGTCAAGAGAGGTAACAGTCTGTGAGTGAAGCTAACAGCAACTAAGTGTGCAGTGCATCTCTTATTGGCTTCAAAACATTTACTTCCCCCCAAAAAAACTTATACAACACAGATAAATGTGCTTGGCTTACTCCCAGCTCTTATGCCTCATTGATTGTACTTGGGTGTATTCTGCACTGTGTCACTGCAATTAAGTGATAGTTCTCTTTTGCTGCACAGGACACCGAGAGTGCATGGAAGTTCTTCTGGCTCATGGAGTTGACATTGATGAAGAAGACGTGCACTATGGGACCCTGCTGTATGTTGCTTGCATGTACCAGAGGACAGACTGTGTCAAGAAGCTGTTGGAACTTGGTACGTCCAGAGAAGGAGCTGGGGGAGAGCTAGGGTAGTGTAAGCCATCCCAATTCCATCCAAGTTACTCCTATGTCATAAACATTTTGAAGGATTTCTGCAAGAGATTTTTGGACAGCTTGAATCTGTGAGATAATTAAAATTTCACTTGTATTCATGAAGAATACACATCCAGGGAGGTGGTGGAATCACCATCCTGGGAGATGTTGAAGAACCGTATAGATGTAGCGCTGAGGGATATGGTTAGTGGGCATGGTGAGGATGGGCTGACAGTTGGACTTAAGTATTTTAGTGGGGTTCTCCAATCTTTATGATTCTATGAAATTAGAATCTCCCTACTGGAAAATTCTAATTACAGAGATCTACCTGAGACCATTTGTATGTGGAAGTAAACCGGAGTTTTCTAAAACAATGGCAGGAAACAGAAAATATCAGCTATTATTGATGACCAAAATCAAGTCTTTTGATTATGAAAAATTAAACTGCCATGCTAAGCATTAACCTCATTTTCTTCTCAGCTAATGATGAAAACAGCAGTAAAGATGCTTGAAAAAATAATCTCTGTAAGCCCAGACACAATATATAAGATAGTGTAAATTTCTACTGTTGACGCTTGCTGGAAGTACGGCTCTGCTGCACATGGCTAGCTCAGGGCAACCATTTTGCTAGCTGTGCTCTCGAAGTTATTACAGGCACCTAAAGGGTGTTTTCCTCCCTCTAACTAAAATAACATAGTCTAAGATAGATTGTTTAATACTAACAAATTTGTCATAGGTTTTGATCAGTGATCATTCAAGGCCAGGCTGGATGTGGCTCTGGGCAGCCTGGTCTAGTGGTTTGCAACCATGCACATAGCAGGTATGTTGAGACTAAATGATCGTTGTGGTCCTTTTCAACCCAGGCCATTCTATGATTCTATGATTCTATGATTCTATGATTCTATGATTCTATGATTCTATGATTCTATGATTCTATGATCATCTATTGGGTTGACAGTCTAAGAACTGCAGTGGTTGACCAGCTTCGCCTGTTGTAGAGAGGACTCAGTGGACCAGTAGACACTTATACAGAGAATATTTGATCTGAGTTTTGCACTGATGTCACAGAGTTGTCACAGAGGCCTGGGTGCCACTCATCCCCTTCATTTATTGAGGCTACCAGTGGATATCCAATCTGTGTAGTGCAAAGTCAGATATTTCTTGCTTTTTCCTTGCACCAACCCTGCATTCTTCTTCTCCCAAGGAGCCAATGTCAATGCAGGGAAGCTACTAGACACTCCTCTCCATGCAGCAGCAAGGAAATCCAGTGCAGAGATAGTTGTCTTGCTGGCAGACTATGGTGCTAACCTGAAATGCAGAAATGCTGAACTCAAATGTGCCCTGGACCTTGCCATACCCAACAGCAAAGTGGAGCAGGCACTTCTACTTTGTGAAGGTAAAGGTTTCTTTTGCCTTTTCCCCTTTGCCTTTTCCCCTTTGTCGTTTCAAAGTAGAACAGTATTAATTTTTTACCTAAAGCCGTTTTCTTAATGAACTTAATCTTGTCTGTAAGTTCTCTTTTGATTTCAAGCCTGTATCACGCTACACAGAAATGAGCAAGCAATCTGTTTTCTTGCCAGAGCTGCTGCCAAATTAGAGTTTTAGCGAGCAAATTGGCTAGTTATTCTGTGCCTTTGTTTTCCATTTATTGAAGGTAAATTATTTACGAGCCAAGACTCTAAGGACTGAGGATTGAAAACTGCCATGAGAGTTTACTCACAGATATTATCACAGCTATTTTAGTATCTTATGTTCAGATAAGTACTGTGGCGCAATGACCTTCTTCCTGGAAAAAACAAAAACAAAACAAAACCAAAAAAATGCCAACAAATGTGTGTTTATGGGACTGCGATCCAAGCAGAAACCAGTAATACCCTTTGCAGCTGACATGCAGGCTCTCCAATATTTCTAGTTATCTTCCCAATCTAATTGAATAAACTTCTAAGCAGAAATAAATCTAACACTTCTTATGCTATTTTCACTTCTGCCCCATATAACCAAAACTTTGCGCATCTCCATCCCTGGAGAAGAGACATGCTTTGTTAATTCCCCCTGTCCTCTAATCTCCATGTTTCCTAGCTCACTTGTCTCCTGCTAGCTGGTCTGTGCCCCAGGCTTCTGCCTTCCTGGTCACAGCTCACTCCCTGCCTGTGGTGAGCAATACAATGTGCATAGAAAGCCTAAGAGCTCTTGAATGGTAATTAATGTCAGTGGGGTGTATAAGCTTTGTGTTGGCCTCTGCATGCAGGTGAGTTTTATGGAGGAAGTGAAACATTGGTCCAAGATTCTTCTGTCCCTCTCTCTTTCACCACATTACACATGGTGATTTAATTTGTCACAGAATGTCATAGAAAGGTTGTAGAATTACGTGAGTTGGACAAGACCCCAAAGGATCATCTATTCCAACTCCCAGCTCCACACAGGACCACCTCAAATTCAAACCTTGTGTGTGAGAGCTTTGTCCAAACATTCCTTGACCTCTGACAATTGGAGCCATGCCCACCTCCCTTGGGTGAAGAACCTTTCCCTAACCCCCAGCAGCCCGTCCCCTGACACAGCTCCATAACATTCCCTCAGGTTCTATGATTGTCACGTTCAAAGACTTCTGGAGGACATTTGCTTCAATGCTTCTCACTTCTTGTGACTTCCATCCCTGTGTCTGAGGTGTTCAGGCCTGAGCAAAGGCAGGTGTCTCACTTCAGTTGCCTGGTGTAATTAAGAGCTTCTGTAGATAAATAACTATGCCAGTATTAAAAATCTCCTCCCTTCCTGAACCTCTGCTTGATTTTTACTCTGAAGTTGTACCCCCATCCTCCCTCACAATCAGGTGGGCCACAGGGTCTGTCAATTACTGCTGGCTCTTCCCTTCTCAGAAGTGAAGATTTCTTTGTACCTTATATATACTCCTTCAGTCTTACTTGCAGACACTTTTCTGTATCCAACATCTACAACTCCCTCACCTCATCTGTGTTTTCCGACGTCCTTCTGTTTGAAAGAAGAGCCCTAGGGAATTCCCTTCAAGAGTTTTCTTTATTCCTCCTGACTTTTCTTCCGTGCTTATTATTTACATGTCTTCTTTTAAATGTTCATCTTCCAACCTATTATTTGATGTGAAATATAAAATGTTTCCATTTTCTTAATTGTCGTGGGAGGTGATAGCTTCTTTTCTCCCTTCAGTGATGATAGCTCAAGTACTCTTCTACAAATTCTACAAATTTCTATAAATTTATTCTCTGAGGGGAATTAGCAACCAGCTTAGGTGCCTCCATTTTCCTGTAGTAAAAGCAGACTTTGGTGAATCTCCTCTGGGGCTGGGAGCTCTATCCTGTTCACCCCACTGGGGACAGCACCATGGTCTTCTGTGGTGACATGCAAACACCCACAAAATGAGTCTGTGGACAACTTTGCTGTCAGTGGGCTCTCCAGTTTATAATAAGATATTGTCACAGAGTGCAACATTTCCCTCATGGCTCAGGAAGTGCCAAACCCTGCACAAGAGCTATACGTCCTGGCACTGTCTCTAGTGCAAAATTCTATATGGAACTTTTAGTATTTGCTCAAGAGAAGATTCAGAAAAGCCTAGCTGTGCATGCATAAAAATGCTTTTAGTGTTCATAGGTTTCGAGCTGCTGAATCAGTTTTGGCAAAATAGGTCAGCAGTGTATGTTGCTCTCCTTAACTTTCAGAAAGTTGTTGTGCAGTTCTCAATTTGATTTTCAAACCTTGCTGCTGTTTGTTACCTTCTGACTTATACTGGGGATGAGGGTGCTTGCTCTTTTGTTTTTTTTCTTGTCTTCCAGGCCCTGCCAGCCTTGCCCAGCTGTGCCGATTGTGTATCAGAAAGCAACTGGGTCGATCGTGCCTATATGCGATCCATAAGCTGCACCTGCCTGAGCCGCTTGAGAACTTTCTCCTACACCGATAAGCCCGTGATTATCTTTGCACTGGAAAAGAAAGAGGAGCAAATGGTTGTGTACTCCAAAATTATTATATCAAAGTAAAAAAAATCGAAGACATCATTTACTGTCTACTCTGGGTACCAAACATGGCTGCAGATTGTGTACATTGAAGCCAAAGGAAAACATATTTTCACAGACACTGAATGGTGTGGATACAGCTCCCCCACAGTTTATTGCCACATCTATTTTTACTTAATTGAGAAGTCATAATACATGAACAACTCAATCAATGTGTTTGTAGATAGACATGCATTCATCCATCCACAGATACACACACAGGATTTCCTTTGCAATCAGTGTTGTCTAATGATTATAGGTGAGTTTTTTTCCTTTGATATCTGTGCAGCTTCTTCCACTTAATTCTAAAAAGCTCACTGTCAAAATTAGGGCTGTTATTCTTCCACTAGTATGGGAATGAAAACCTTCAGTAATTAACGTTAGGCATATTTGTGTACTGCACATCTTTTGTCCTCTTTGACTCTGCTTCCTGAGAACTTCCCATGTTCTACTAGAGCTTCCCATGCTCTACTAGATTCATAGGGACTTCCAGCAGGCTCTGGCTGTCCAGATGTCCCCTTACCTGAGCCCAGCTGCCCTCAACACTAATCCATATTCTCCTCCAAGATGAGAGTGATCTTACCAAATCAGATCTGGGGGCTTGGAGTAAGCCCACAAAATTATTTGTAAGTCTTAAAAAAAAACCCTTGTATCTTCTAAAAAAAAAAAAATATATATATATATATATATAAATATATATTATATATATATATATATAAATCTATCTTATCTGAGATCTGGCTCTGTTTGCTATATGAATAATTTTTGTTAGCTTAATTTGAGGAGAGAACAGCAAGCGTTTTCATAGGCATATAGTAGGCCAGCTTTCAGTGTCTGTCCTTTGCAAAGCTTAATGAAAACCTGAGACTGAGTTGCTTCTCCTCCTTTGAACACTTTGATGTTTCTCAAGATATGTCCTTGGACTGTAGAGCAAGAGAGGGCAAGAGAGGGTCAGGGTCGCTAAGCATGGTTGTGCATCACCCAAATCTTCTTGTTTGTTATTACCCACTAGGAGAATAAGTTGGCAGGGCATCTGCTTCCTCATCACCTACTCTAGCATCTTTCATCATTGCCCTGGGAGGAGAGAATTTTGAAGGAGATTCTAGCTGTACTAGGAGTTTATATCTTGTCAGGTTTTTTAGCTTGGATGCAGCAGAGTTAAAGCTGTAGACCTCCCCAGATGAGAAACTTGGTATCCAGTGACTGGTGTCTGCATGGCTATACAAATAAATGTTTATTTTTCCTATGGAGGCTGTTTTGAGGGCAGAAATGTTACTGTGGACCTGAAAGTTGATAAACTTCAACCACAAAATGGGCAATGGTGTATCACTGGTACAGTAAGACATAGAGGTTAAAGGGCAGTCTGCGTACACATAGCCCAGCTTTGCAGGCCCAAGAGGCTGGTTCACTTTCCAGCTAAGAGTGATTTCTTTATGAGCTATGCATGCTGGTACCAGTTTTCACTGCCCCTACGTTCAAAGTCAGGGGAAATGAGCCTTGCAAGGTATAGTGCAGTGAACGCTTTTCCAGCAGCCACTGAGCTGCTGTCATCACTCCAGCAGAATCAGCCTCTGGTCCAGTGCTAACGCCTTAATTTCACCACATCAGTTTCCCTCCCTGAGACAGAGGACTCACCTTTCCTGTACTTTCCCATGAATCATTCAGTGCAAGTAAGATAAATTGTGCTCCCAGCAGTTTGTGAGACTAGGCCTGCAGCGTTACAGCCAAAAACAAATGTAGTTTTCAGCCTGTGAAATACCCCGTGTCTGCACATATTGAATGCCCTCTGACAGTGAGAGCTGTTGCCCATAAAGTTTTCTGTGACATGAATGACCTTGTATAGTACAGTATATCATGGATCTCAGAGATTTGAACACTAAATTCTCAAGAGCTTCTGAAAATCAGATGCTATGAAGAAAGAAATGTTAATTTCATATTAATCAGATGTTTGTAGATCTCTCTCAGGCTTATCCTTGCTTCCAGCTCACCTACTCTGTTTATAAGCTGGTAGTCAGAATACCATCTGCTGTCCAAATAGAGAGACAGAGCCTCAGCTGTGTGGGTTGTCAGGCTTTTATTGAAATCAAGGAGTGGAGACAATTTATGGGATCTATTTCAGAACATGTAATACTGAATTGATTTCCATCTGTGATCATCAGTGAAAGCAGTATTTCACTTGCATAAGATTTTAAATTGAAAAAATGTATCTTCATTAAGGAGATGCAAAGCCTACTCAGCCTCTCAGGAAGGTTTATGTTATGAAACAGCAGAAGCTGCCCTATTTCATTGCTGATATTAACTTCCCATCAAAAATTCACCTCGCCTTTGCATCCTCCTGGAGACATCATTCTTCTTGAAATTCCATATATCAGAGATTCAAGTGGAACAGAGCTTTAATAAATCAAGAGAGAAGTTCAGAAGTCCTCATGTTAAGCAATCTCATGAAAAACTTCACCTATACTTTTTTGTTCTTATCAACAGCATGGTTCAGACTAAAAATTACCCATCTAATTTTCAGCGACTGTGCTTTGTGTTACAACAAAGCATGAAAATATTACCAAGGAAGTAGCTGGAAGCTGTATTTGATTTTTATTTTGTAAATACGCCATCTCGTGAGGATAAGGAAACACTAGTTATTGTGCTAGGAGTTTAGTAAATCTCATTGGTGATTTTTCCAAATAAGTTTGAAAAATATTTGTCAGCTGTTGACAGAGCTTCTTTTCCTTGGGCAGGAGACAGCTAACTAATCATAGAAAGACTGTTTTCTTCAAGATGGGTGGCACCTCCATGCCATTCTATGATCATGTACAGAAACCCATTATTTGGGTGAAATACAACTTTCCTGAGAATGCAGAAGTTTTTCTGTGTTGCAATGTCCACTACTATGCCACAGCTGTAAGACTTTACCCTCTCAAAACTTCCAGTAGTGTCTGCTTCAGAGAAAAGTGAAGCAGATCTCAATAATTTCGCAGTATCCTGGTTAGTGGAAAGTGTTGGTATTTTTTTTTTTCCAAGCTACGAACAGCTATTTTAAGTACAGACTCTTTTCATCTTTAAAGCAGGATCTTCAGCTATATATGCTCACCAACCATAAATCTTTGTCCCAAGTGTATTTGGCAGAAATGTCTTGAAAATGTTACTGATGAGCAGTGTAAACCCAAAAGATTTTCTTTGATTGTTCCCAATCCGTTGATCCACTTTTCAGTTTTATTATCCATGTTATGAAAGCCAGAAATGTGGACTCAGAAATGTTGATGAAATTAATCTCACAGAATGATAGAATATCCTGAGGTGGAATTGACCCATAAGGATCATTGAGTCCAACAGACATCAAACTAATTAGAAGTTGACTTCAAGCTATCATTCATTACTTAGTATTCTTGTTATTGTGATCCAAAACAAAACAAAGTTGATACCATTTTGCATCAGCCCTATCTTTATTTGTAATCCACAATAAGCAGTCTTCATATCTATGTTCTGCCTAGTAAAGGATGCATTTCCATGACTCAAAGCATTTTTACAGTCCTTTTTGTCTTTACTGTATCTTTTCTCACACCACTAAGCTCTTGTTCATAAGCGTATCTTTCCTCATCAACTTCATTCTGAATTCATATATTTGTTTTCTGGCTCTAAGAATATGACTTTTATTTCCTCCTTGAGCAGTATACCTCTTCAACAGCAGCCATTTTAGTGATCCTGTCTCACTGTCAGATCCTGTCTCACTGCTAGATGTTCTCCAGGCACTCTAACTTGGCACCATAAAAGGTCCACATTTCTGTCTCCTGTCTGGTCTCTGGTTTAAGCAGATTCCAAGAAAGCCTTCACTAGGTCTCAGAATTCCACATCGTTTATTCCCATCCCTGAGTTTCTTCTGTCCAGTTGAATCTCCCACTCTTAAAGTGAAATTAGAAAGGGAGGAAAATGCTAAGTTGCTCCAACAGTGGTCATATTGCAGGAGCTGAACCTTCTCAAATCAGCCTTGAAGTGTGGACATCCTCCCTACCCGTGCAGATGCAGACTTAGAGGTTGGCTGTTCATCCCTGCTCTTGTGATGGGACATACTTGTGCCTCTTTGTATGGTGGTACTGGGAATCATCTCTTCCCTACTCCGTTTTTCACCAGGGAGCTACAGCCTGGTCAACGTCCATCTCAGAGCATTCTGCTTTTGGACTTCTGCTCACCACTGATATTAGAATTTAATATTGTGCTGACCCTGTGCAAATTCTTGTGAAAACTGCCTAACACTTTCAATCTCAATTCTGGCCTCTCTCTCCTGCAGCACAACTACGCTGTTGGCACTTATCAGCCCTCTGATCTTTATTGGGTGAAAACCACTGGTTGTGCCCCAGAAAGTCGTTAGGGCATGACTGGCTATTTGGACTGATACTAACATAATGAAACATGTTCATGGACTTTACAGAAAAATCAGGCTGCCCTGTATGCTGGGCTGACAGTTTATGATGTCGTTGCATTTTTTTTTTTTTCCAAGAAATTAATAATTAGTACAAACCAATTGCTCCTCTTTGCTGTTTTTTATTTTTATTTTTATTTTTATTTTTCTTCAAGAGGTGTATACTTTGTTATTGTCAAATACAGATTATTCTACAAAGAACTTCTGCCCAATTTGATTTCTATTTCTTGAAAATGCCTTTAACCTTAAATTTCATAACATTTGCAGAAAGTCTTGATGCACATTGCAAGTGAAGGAGAAAATGTATCAGTTTTGGAACTGAAAAATCAGGAACTGAGGAAGAAAACATAATTTGCATATTCAGCTGTGAATAACACGTGGGAGTTGGGGAGAGATGAATTGGCAGGGCATGTCATTCTAGAATTTCAACAGGTAACACATTAGTCAGCAAACCATTGCAACTAATGGTTGCATATTAACCAGCAATGGATAAAGTCTCACATGTGCATGGGATTTCCTTTTCATCTTACTTTTAAGTGAATTAGACTTATGTTTAAAGAGCTTTTCTTCATGTCAATTTGAGCAAAACTATTGTGAATGCAAAAACCCAGCACACAGTCAGTCTAGCAATTTTTGACAGTATCTTGTCTGCGATATCCTGCAAATATGACTTCCCAGAATTACAAGCACTAACTTGGCTCACTCTCATTCAAGCACAAAATTGAGGTCTGAGAAATAAAATCATGTTCCAGCTATGTAAAAACTAAGAAAACAAGAAAAGTGAATTTGGTATTTATAGTAACAAGGGATTTAAATACTTCTAACTGTAAGATGTACCAGACTCTGTGGTGACTAGGAATTGGATAAAATGAGACTCCCAAGCCACCCCTTGAGGGTAAGGCAGGGTTTGGACTGGGTTTAAACCTATGTTTTACTGAAAAATCCAATGGACTAATATGGAGGGTTCTACAGTTTCATCCTCTCTCTCACATGTAGAGGTTCAGAGGAAAAGATCTGAAGACAGAGAGAGAAAAAGAAGTCTTCTAACCTTTAATATCTTTTCAGGCCTGGAGGCCATGGCTACTTCATCTGAACTCCTCCATAACGCAAGCCGCAGAACCTCACCCAGCAGTTGCGCTAAACCAGACTGAGCCCTGGGCTATGGCACGCTTTACAAAACCTGGAGGCACTGAGAGCTTCCCACCTCACCTCTTCACTGCTGCTGCCACACTAGGCCAGGAGATAAAGAGGATGGGAGGCTACTTTGTCTTTTACATGCATTCATTCTTGTCCAGAGCCTGGAGCTGCCAATGTGACCATCTGAGGTGGTGATGGAGGTGCTACATGGCCAAGGCTAGCGGTGTTTATATCTCAGATTGTAGTAAACCAAACTTTTAAAAAATAAGAGGATACATAAGATGAGTAATGACAAAAATTTCTATACCAAGTTTTGTTCTTTTGGCATGTCGGTGAATTATGCCGCATCCTACAGATATTCAGCCATGTATTATTTTACCTGTTGTTTGCTAAGAGTGGTTTGTTGTGGTAGATGATTCATTCTTCTACCAGGTCCACCTGTTAGCTATAGAGGTTAATGTGCTGTAGCAACATAGAAATTAGACAGGATGAGAAGGGAAGGAGATTTAGAGGATTCCAGAGAAAACTTGTTATAACTTCTGCTGTCTGGTCTAGGAGTCTTTGTGGGTAAAAAGTGTTGTGTGTTTTGTTTCTTTTTTTTCACTTAGGAAGAATTTAAGGCTCCACAGGCCTTATGACTTACTAATTTTATGACGCCCACATCATTCTTTACCAACTTCACTAACGTTAATTCCAACTTTTTTTTTTACCTAGGGTAGTGAGGAACTTGTATTATACTTTGTATTCCGAAAGAAATAGTGTATGAACTTCCTAAGTCCCAGAGAAAGCTATTTGAGAGCTAAGATGCTAAAAATATTCGCTTTTTACACTTTGCTTACAACTGATGCTGTACTGCAACAATAATGAACAAATGGTTATTAATGATCATAAGCTTGAGGTATGTGTAAAGACTCTGGCTTTTTCCATGATTTTTGTGCCTTTTCTCACTGAATTCCTGTCAAGGACCAGTCAACCCCAAATATCCAAGTGAACTAAAATTAATGAGAAAGATAAATTAAATTTGATACTAGTGCTTTCAGTCTTATTAGGTCTACATCAAGGCATATATCTGTGGAACAGTGTCCTGAATAATTACAGTTAGAAAAGAACAGATTTTTGGGTCAAAGTTTGTAAAGGCTTCAGTGAAAAGTTTCCACAGAAACAATGCCAAGTAACACCAGTTTGTTTCCAAAAGCAGTTTCTCATAGGCTGTTGCTTTAGATAGAAGAAATTCCATTATGAACTTGGTGTTGTTTTTTTTGGCTAGAAGTTACAGCTTTCCAGTTCTGCCCCCGAAGCATTTCCCATCCACCCACTATGGGCAGGCTTGGTAGCAAGGCAAACAGCTGCTCTATCAAGGGTCCACAGACAGCAGCTTGTCTGACATTCATTAAAGCCTTTGAGCTGATGTGACTCATTCTCTGCTGAAAATTTCCCTGTCTGCTTTTCAGTCATTGTTCGTGGAAAATAAGTACCTAGGCTTTTCATGCTTGTAGCAGCTTGGGAACAAATATGTTTTTACCATTGCTCATGAAATCTCATTAGGGATATAATTATTATTATTTTTGGATGTGGCTCTGGTATAACAGCTAAAAAGGCTTATGCTAACCTTGAGATATTTTAACAGATAGTACTCTTTTGCCACCAGCCCTGATGTGGAATAAACTCCAAGACTTTTTGTGAAGTGGCAGGTTAGGATCAGCATTGAAAGAGGTCAGTTATGGCTTGCTGTGTGTGGAAGATGGGGGAAGGGGAGATCCAGCTGGTCCTACCATACACCTCGGCCTTTGAACTTCAGCCTTGGTAAGCTTTGCACCCTGTATATCGGTCTCCAGAGATGTTTCCCTTCTGCCCCAACATCAGATATGAAGTGGCCACATTGGATGGGTCACCATGAGAAGCTTGTACATTCGTCACTGTACTCAGTTCATAATCCTTTGGAAGGGATACTCTACTTTCTACAAAATCAGCTTTGTCAATCAGCATTAGTCAATAACCTTTTCCAGAATAAAATGTCATCACCTGCTATGCTAATAATATGCTGAAAGGAACAGAATTACATGACAGTTCTACAGACATTTTCCCTCTTTGACTTTATTGTCCAAACAGTTGAATTGGTAATGTAGATTTCTGCAGGACGTATTTGGAAGCTCACGGAAGGCTCAGTTCAGAACAAGAATTAAAAGATCACAGTCTTTATTGTGAAAGTCCATTAATTGCATTTATCAGTAGTGACAAGGTGCTGTAACTTTGGGGCATCATTGAAAAGCCCTGGGAAGCTGGCTGTGTGAGAATAGCTGGAGCATGCTGGCCATTCCCATTAGAGGCAGAAGAGTGGGTAGATCTGTCACACTGGTGAAATTTCTAGAGGTAACCTCCAACAAGTCCTGGAAGGCAGCCTTTCTGTGACTGTGGGTGGAAGAGCTTATTGCAATGCAATATGTTAATGAGCAATGAGCATCTAACCCCAGTAGGGCTGGAGAAGAGAAGCAGTAGAGCAGAGGAGCATCTGAATTAGGTACTCCAACCCATGAGCTCTTGTCACCTTCCCGTCTGCTTTGCTGACACTCCTCAGCTTTTATTGCTATTGTGTCCTGGTACTGCATAGATAGTGGGAAGAGAGAGAAACTGGAGGGAGGCATAGAAATTGGCTTGGCTTGATAAGACCCACTGTGGGCCTTTGGGCTTGGAAAGATGAGATATTGATTGGCAAACTTTGTGTTGGGAAATATTCCTGGGTGGATCTCAATGGGACCTGGCACCATGAGCGCTGCTTAACAGGACCAATTCTTCTGTGGCATTAAACTTGCTTTTATTATATTTGGGTTTTCTCCAGCATGATCATCTGTTAATCTTATCATGGAAGTGGTGGAAAATTTTCATGTCACCATTATTATTTTTAAAATCGAAATTGTTGTTCTCTGAAAGTGAATGTATTTGGGAATTATTTTGCTTTCTTCAGAAATGGTTATTGTTCACTAGAAAGTTCATGAACCTAAAAGGTTTGATGGCAAGTGACAGAACTGCCATTGTTTTTCAAAATTAATTATCAGAAGACAGAAAAGAGGGGAAGAAAGAAACTGAATTCTTCTTTATGCCTGGATTTGGATTGCATTTAAACTTATTAATGGACAAGACCACCTTGCAGTTGGCGAAATT